TTGGTCTGTAACTGTTTGATCCCAGCATTATATATCAAATCATTGAAGGTAGGGAACAATATGTTTTCAACTTGGCAATTCCAAAGTCTATGACAAATCTGACATAAATAGACACTTCATACACACTTTTAAAATTGAATGAGTAAATAAAAGATTAAAATAGTAATACACCTAAAGTTTTTCTCCTTGTTTTATGGATAAAGTGCTTCCGTGATCTGGAGTTAGCACCTGTAACAAATAGACAGAACTAAGAAACAGTGTAACTTTACTTTGTGCTCTTGGGCTTACCCAGAATCCAAAGGAACAGAAAGTACTTTTTGTTGTATTCTTGCTCTTCTAAATTTTCATTCAGGGAGACATCTGTTCATCATCACGACTGTAACTGTCAGTGAGACCCTGGGTTTGCTGATGTGCTTCTTTCTTGCTAGCCTATCATTTATGAATGTCACTTATTTCTCAACTGTTTTCCCCAAATTGATTTCAGACTTGTTCTTTGGGAAAAATATCATCTCTCTCTAATCTTGAATGACCCAGCACCCAGCTTTTACAGCACTTATTTTTCTTGGTGGGTCACAGGTATTTCTTCTATTGGTGATGGTCTATGATCACTATAGGGCCATCTGCAAGTCCTTGCAGTATTTGATTGTCAGGAAGCAATGGCTGTGTGTTGTGCTGCTTGTGGTGTCCTGGGCTGGAGGACTTTTGCACATAGTAATTCAGGTTGGTCTTATGTATGGGCTCCCATCTTATGACCCCAATGTTGTTGGTCATTTTATCTGTGACATGTACTCCTTAATGAAGCTAGTCTGTGACTATACACTGAACAGTGTTGCCTATTTTGCAGGTCATGATGTAAATAATAGGTTTTGTAGATTTCATTATGCTCGGACTGGACTTTTTCCTTTTGGTGATTTGACCTCGAGTTATTCTTTTGTAATTTTTTCCCTAGGGGACATGGTTTTATAAATCTTGTTATACATAGTTATTATCCTTGTGGCATCTCTGGAGATACAGAATCTACCCTCAGAATTATGATAAGGTCCCAATGAATTTAATTAGAGAAGAATCACCTTTGGAAATGCACCAGTTGAATGACTTAACAATATGTGCTGTAGTTCAAATGTAGATAAAGTATCCACAGACTTCTGCCCTTACTTCGAAGAGTATTGTCTATATCAGTATTAACATGGCTGATTTTTTTAGGAATTAAAATGATAGACTCAAAACATGATAAAATGTGGATTTAAATTATTCTTCATCCTTCAGATTACCCAAGGTCCAACTATGCAGCAGGAATACAGGTTTGTATAACTGATTGAGAATCAATATGTTGTAAAGGCTATTTCATTATTTTATTTTTATTGGCATAAAATACAAATATTTATATTAAAAAGTCTCAATTCTCTCTCTCACAAATTTGAGTTTTTTTTTTTTAACTTCAAAATGCTTATTTAACCTATTCATCATTTGATGAACAATTGAGTTGTTTCCATATCTTGGCTATTGTGAATAGTGCTTCAAAAGTTATGGGAATGTAGATATCTCTTTGATATACTGCTTTCATTTCTCTTGGATATGTAATTACCAGTGGGATTGCTAGATATATGCTAGTTCTATTTTTAATTTTCTGAGGAACCTCTATACTGTTTTCCGTAGTGGCTGTACTATTTGCATTCCTACCAACAGATGATGATCATTCTCCTTTCTCTACAACCTCATCAGTATTTATTTTCTGTTATTTTGATAATAGCCATTTTAACTGGAGTGAGTTGGTAACGTAATAAAAAGGATAAAATTCTGCCATTTGCAGCAATGTTGATGGAACTGGAGGATATTAAGTAAAATGTGGCAGGCACAGAAAGACAGATATTGCATGTGTTCACTCATGTGGGAGATAAACAAATTGACCTCATAGCAGTAGTGAATAGAGTTAACTATATATTTCAAAACAGCTGGAAGAGATTTTCTCATCATAAGGAAATGATAAATGTTTGAGGTGATGGATATCCCAGTTATCCAGATTTGATCATTAAATGCTGTGATGTTTTGTCAAAATATCATGTGTACCCCATAAATATGTACAATTATAATATGTACCTGTAAATAAAAAATAAAAAATATTTATTTAACATGTGTTTGTTATTAGGACAAATTTTGGCAGCAGTTAAGATTTTGGGTGTCAGTTCACAATCAAGATTCAGATTTCTTTAAGTTACAGAACATTCTTGATACTCATTTTGAAAATACCAACAATTTAAAAGATAACTTTTTTTCTCCATGAAAGTCTGAAATAAATCAGACTTCCTGAAAGCATAGAAACTGTTGGTCACATGGAAGCATTTCAAGGTCCAGTGATGGTTCATATGTTATTTTGCTCTCTGTGCTCACAGAGATGGTGTCAGTATACACACAGCTTTATTTTTTTTTTTAGGACAAGAGAGAAGATATCACCATCAGAACTTAGACTGAATGACTGTCTTCTTATGTAGGTAACTCAGGAAGTGTATTTATGCATAAGATTCTGAACTAGGCTTTACAGTATGCAATAACACTGATGATGTGAGAATTCTGTCTTTCAATAGTTTTCCTAAGTGATTCTGATAATAAGCCACATTAGTGGTTCTTCATGATTGCTAAACTAAATGTGAATTTACTCAATTCTGTAATACTCTTTTGGATATTTTAAAATTATAAAAACCCATAATAAATTTACTTTCTCTAAATCAGTGTTTTTAGAAATGAATTTCAAGTGTAAACATTTGGGGGATATTTTAATGGGCAGATATTATAAATCTCTTTATAATATCAAACAACGTGTTCTCTAAGCATTGATTAATATGCCAAAAATAAGATGATATAGCATCTGTAGAAGTTGAATAAGTGACTTTCAAGAAACCTAGGTAAGACTTAAGTAAGCAAGGTATTACTTCAATTCATAGGAATGATAGGTCAAGTAAGAAGAGTACTGAAGTTGACCATTGGACTTAATAAAGTGAAGGTGTCATTTAGGAAGAATAACAGATAATCAAGATGAGGTGGTTGCTTGAAAGAGATGTGGGGTCAAAGGATGGATTTATTTTTTTAACATGGGGATAGATCATACAAATATGCTGGAAGAATGATGCAATATATGGAGGAAACTTGTTGTTGTTGGAAGTAGAGGAGAAATTGCAGGAGCACTGTTAAGAGCATGCCACCTAGTGCATTAATAGAAGTTGGCCATAGTTAGCAACACAGACAATCTGTGTATTTGAAGAGCAGGTGAGACACTATGAGGTCAGATTGAAATAAAGGTCAGCAGAGACTTTTAGAGAGTGTCTAGTTGTCATTACTAGGATTATTTTAAAAGATAGCTGGACTAGTCAATATCGATACTATGTATGGAATAGTTTTTTTGTGCATGTGTGAAGCCTTCTTTTCTGGTCTCTCTCTTCTTCCCTCCCACCCTTCCTTCTACCATGTTTCTTTCCCTCCCTCTTTTCTTCTAGCTTCCTCCATTTCCTCCCTCTCTCTCTTCCTTCCTTCCTTCTTACCCTCCCTCCCTTCCTTCCTCCCTTCTTTCCTTCCCCTCTCTCCTTCCCTTTCTCCTTTCCTTTCCCTCTCTCCGTTCCTTCCCTTCCCTCCCTCCCTTTCTTCCCCTCCACTTTCTTCCCCCACTCCCTTCCTTCCCCTCCCTCCCTTCCTTCCCTTCTCCCTCCCTCCGTCCCTCCCTTCCTTCCTCTCTCTTTTATTTTTATTCTTTCACACACAACTTCTCACCTCTCCCCACATCACCAGTGCAAATGTAAATTCTGCTTACAACAAAAAAAATTATCCTTCCTTATTTTCCCATGCTTATATAATCATACAGAAACATTTATAAATGGATACATGTATAGTATTTTATTTTGTTTGATGAATCATGTTATTATACTGAAATGATTGTAATTAATTCTTTTAACTGTCTGTATTTCATGTTTTATTTTTCTGTTTGTTTAATGCAATTATAAATAATGTCACAAAAACATGCCATGCATCTTTCCTTAGGTACTAGGGCTTTAATTTCTGTGGGATAGCTTTTGAAGGCAGCAATTTTGTTGATAGTTATTTTTATTTTCATTAGAGATTGCTAACTTTCATTCCAAAAATATTATAAAATTTGCATTTTCACTATCAGTGTAAGAAAATACTCTTTTTTATTTTTACTATCTATAGCTACTATCACTTTTAAAATGTTTTTGTCAGTTTGATAAATATAAGATGATATTTGTTTTTTATTTTGCATTTTTCTGTTTATAGGTGAACCCCAGCATCCTATTATGTTATATTTTGGCCATTTGGATATACTATTTTTTTTTTGTTTTAAATTGCTGGTTTCTATCATTTGCCCACTTTGCTATTGGTTTGTTTGTGTTTTATTTATTAATTGCTTAGAGCACTTTGTCTATTTTAAATATTAACTCTATGTCCTCAAAAATCTAAATCTTTTAAAATGGTATCTTTTTGCAATTTCTTAAACAATTTTGAAGTAGTCAAGTGTGTTTACTTTGGATTTCAATTATTAGTTAATAAGATTCTTCCATCCACAGAATGTAGAAAATCATCTCCTTTATTAACTGGAAAGTAAATATAAAGTAAATCTAGCTTTAGTTTTATATTAAACCTTTAATTCATTAAAATTTTTTTTATTGGTATTAGCTATATGTATAGTTTCATGATCTTCCAGATGTAAAACTAGTTTTGGCAAACTCATTTATTTAATAATCTGTCTTTTTTTCATGTACGTCTCAAATTACTTATTTCTCTCTCCATTAATCTGTAAGATTGCTGAGGTTGGGGACCATACTTTAATCAGCCTTGTATTCTTATAATGTCTTGCAATTCTGGAACATAGTAACTTGTAGCACCTCTATGTTGAATAAACAAACATTATCCTAAAATTTTATGAAGTTACCAGTAATAATTGTATTTGCCGGTAATTTTGTCCTGAACATTGAAATAAACGACATAGAGAAAGGCATATGGAACAAAGGAACAATGTGACTGAGTTTGTCCTTGTGGGGCTCACTCAGAACCCCCAGGGACAGAAAACATTATTTGTTGTGTTCTTGCTCATCTACATTGTGACAATGGTAGGCAATACACTCATCGTTGTGACCGTGGTGGTCAGCCCAACTTTGGATGCCCCTATGTACTTCTTCCTTGGCTACTTATCATTTATGGATGCTGTTTATTCTACTGCAGTTACCCCAGATATGATTATAGACTTACTCTATGAGAAGAAAACCATTTCGTTCCAAGCTTGCATGACCCAGCTTTTTATAGGACACTTATTTGGTGGTGCTGAGATTTTACTTCTGGTTGTCATGGCCTATGACAGCTACGTGGCCATTTGCAAACCCCTGCATTATTTGACCATCATGAACCAAAGGGTACGCATTCTACTGCTGCTGTTGGCCTGGGTTGGAGGTTTCTTGCATGCTGTGGTTCAACTTCTTTTTGTCTACAACCTTCCCTTCTGTGGCCCCAATGTCATCGACCATTTCATCTGTGACATGTACCCTTTATTAAAACTTGCCTGCACTGACACCTACGTTATTGGCCTCACTGTGGTTGCCAATGATGGGGCAATCTGTGTGGTCATCTTTATGCTCTTACTCATCTCCTATGGGGTCATTCTGCATTCCCTGAAGAACCTTAGTCAGGAAGGGAGGCGCAAAGCCTTATCTACCTGTGGCTCCCACATCACTGTGGTGATCCACTTCCTTGTCCCTTGTATTTTCATGTATGTGAGACCCCCTTCGACCTTACCCATTGACAAATCCTTGACTGTGTTTTACACTGTTATCACCCCTATGTTGAACCCTCTAATCTACACTTCAAGAAATGCAGAGATGAAAAATGCTATGAAGAAGCTCTGGACCAGAAGAAGAAAATGAAGTGACAGACAAACGTATCATCTATTTTCAGTGAAGAGCTGCTCCCTTCAGGGAAGCCATGTGTGATTATTTAATTGTAGTAAAATTTTCCTCAGGTTTAATAACTTGTATGAAGTGCAAATCATTTATTACATGAATACTTGCAATGATCAAAATACATTTGGAAGATTTTCATAATTTATTAGGAAAATATATGTTTACTTTTTGTCTGCAGAATGGCTCTTGAGATGATAAATTTATGTGTTAGTAATATTGTAAATTTAGTTTATGAAAGGTTTTCTCATGTTTATCTTTTAAGTAAAGTTAATTCTTCTTCAGAATTAGTAGTGCTCATTAGAGATTTCAGAAGAATGAATTAAGAAATAAGACATAAAAACTTTGTTTAGTCCTCCCCACACAAATACAGAACACATTAATATTTGAAGTGTATATTTTATTTTTGTATTGTAAGATACTTTACATACATAATTTTGTTCATGGTTTTTAGCGTGTTAAGGTTGAAGAGGAATAATGCTGCTTTTATTACGAAGTATAATGCTGCTGATAAGGAGACTGAATATACGAAAAGAATCCAGATGAAAAAGGGATACATGCAGGAAAATAACTAAATCTTACTTATTTTTCCAAATGAGAAGTTATATTAAGTCCTCAGGCGAAGCAGCTTGATTTGGTGCCATATTTTTATAAAGATGATCTATTAATCTCCTCAGTGTGTGATGCTCCCCTCCCTGTGTCCATGGGTTCTCATTGTTCAACACCTGCCTATGAGTGAGAACATGCGGTGTTTGATTTTCTGTTCTTGTGTCAGTTTGCTGGGAATGATGGTTTCCAGGTTCATCCATATCCTTACAGAGGACATGAACTCTTCATTTTTTTATGGCTGCATAGTGTTCCATTGTGTATATGTACCACGTTTTTCCTGTCCAGTCTATCATCGATGGGCATTTGGGTTGGTTCCAAGTTTTGCTATTGTAAACAGTACTGCAGTGAACATTTGTGTGCATATGTCCTTATAATAGAACAATTTGTAATCTCATGGCCTTCTAAAAAAGAGCCAGGCTCTATTTTTAATATGTAAAAATAGCATAATCTATAATCTGAGCTTTAAATATGCACTGCAGAGCTTGTTAGCAATATTTTGGAATACATCACTGTCAAGAGAGATAGGCAGGCATGGTGGTGCATGTCTTGGTTTCATCTCCACAGGAGGCTGAGGTGGGAGGATCTCTTGAGCCTGGGAGGTCAAGACTGAAGTGAGCCATGGTCATGATACTGCACTCTAACCTGGATGACAGAGCAAGGCTGAGGAAAAAAAAAAAAAAGAAAGAAAGAAAAAGAAAAGGAAGATGCTGGCAATATATGATGCTTCTATTCTTACTTTATTGATAGAATCCAGATTATTAGGTAATAAAAGGACCAAAACATATTGTTTCATTGGAAAGAAACTTCATTTATAAAGTCTTTGTGAAAATTTCTTTTGAATCAGGCTTGAAATAAAATTTTATCTGCCCCTGACTACACATAGAAAACATATAGTCAAAGAAACTCATTGTTCCTGCTTCTCCTGTGTAGTCTGGATTCATGGGGGACTAAGACTAGGGAAAAAAAAAAAGTCAATTTCACTGGTAAACCATGCTATATGAGTTCATTTTGTAATATTTATTTTTATTCTTATTATTACATGGAGATTTCTTATCTCATCCAAGCTTTTCTAAAACATAGCACTATTCTCCAAATAATATCAAGCATTTGGTGGTACCAGAGTTTACATACTGGTACCTGCGTGCGTTTTTTGACATGTATTTAATTTTCAAATTTGTATGGTTCTATTGAGTGATGAAATAAAAAAAATAGTGGTTAATTGTCTGCTTATGTTTATTGGTCTGAAAGTTTCCTGAAACTTTGTGTTCCCTGTTCCTTGCACAATGTCTGGCACATGGAACCTACTACATAAATGTTGTCAATTATTATTTGTATCCTTGAATTCTTTTTTTTTTAATAGCATGTTAGGTTTTGGGGTACATATGAAGAACATGCAAGATTGTTGCATAGGTACACACATGGCAATGTGATTTGCTGCCTTCTTCCCCTTCATCTACATCTGGTGTTTCTCCCCATGCTATCTCTCCCCACATCCCCACAACCCCATCCCTCCCCAGTTTCCCCCAAACAGACCCCAGTGTGTGATCCCCCCTTCCCTGTGTCCAGGTGTTCTCATTGTTCAATACCCACCTATGAGTGAGAACATGCAGTGTTCGGTTTTCTGCTCTTATGTCAGTTTGCTGAGAAAGATGGTTTCCAGGTTCATCCGTGTCCCTACAAAGGGCATGAACTCATCGTTTTTGATGGCTGCATAGTATTCCATGGTGTATATGTACCACATTTTCCCTGTCCAGTCTATCATAGATGGGCATTTGGGTTGGTTCCAGGTCTTTGCTATTGTAAAGAGTGCCACAGTGAACATTCGTGTGCATGTGTCCTTATGTAGAACGATTTATAATCCTTTGGATATATACCCAGTAATGGGATTGCTGGGTCAAATGGAATTTCTGTTTCTAGGTCCTTGAGGAATCACCACACTGTCTTCCACAATGGTTGAACTAATTTACACTCCCACCATCAGTGTAAAAGTGTTACTATTTCTCCACATCCTCTCCAGCATCTGTTGTCTCCAGATTTTTTAATGATCACCATTCTAACTGGCGTGAGATGGTATCTCAATGTAGTTTTGATTTGCATTTATCTAATGACCAGTGATGATGAGCATTTTTTCATGTTTGTTGGCCTCATGTATGTCTTCTTTTGTAAAGTGTCTGTTCATATCCTTTGCCCACTTTTGAATGGGCTTGTTTGTTTTTTTCTTGTAGATCTGTTTTAGTTCTTCGTAAATTCTGGATATCAGCCCCTTGTCAGATGGGTAGACTGCAAAAAATTTTTTCCCATTCTGTTGGTTGCCGATTCACTCTACTGACTGTTTCTTTTGTGGTGCAGAAGCTGTGGAGTTTGATTGGGTCTCATTTGTCTATTTTGGCTTTTGTTGCCATTGCTTTTGGTGTTTTGGTCATGAAGTCCTTGCTACGCCTATGTCCTGAATGGTTTTGCCTAGATTTTTTTCTGTGGTTTTTATGGTGTTAGGTCTTCTGTTTAAGTCTTTAATCCATCTGGAGTTAATTTTAGTGTAAGGTGTCAGGAAGGGGTCCAGTTTCTGCTTTCTGCACATGGCCAGCCAGTTTTCCCAACACCATTTAATTAAACAGGGAATCCATTGCTTGTTTTTGTCAGGTTTGTCAAAGATCAGATGGTTGTAGATAAATTGTGTTTCCTCCGAGGCCTCTGTTCCATTGGTCTATATCTCTGTTTTGGTACCAGTACCATGCTGTTTTGATTACTGTAGACTTGTAGTATAGTTTGAAGTCTGGTAGTGTGATGCCTCCTGCTTTGTTCTTTTGCTTAGAATTGATTTGGCTATGTGGGCTCTCTTTTGGTTCCATATGAAGTTTAAGGTGTTTTTTTCTAGTTCTGTGAAGGTTATTGGTAGCTTGATGGAAATAGCATTGAATCTGTAAATTACTTTGGGCAGTATGGCCATTTTCACGATATTGATTGTTCCTAACCATGAACATGCAATGTTCCTCCATCTGTTTGTGTCCTCTCTTATTTCGTTGAGCAGTGGCTTGTAGTTCTCCTTGAAGAGGTCCTTTACATTCCTTGTTAGTTGTATTCCTAGGTATTTTATTCTCTTTGTAGCAATTGTGAATGGTGGTTCATTCTTGATTTGGCGCTCTTTAAGTCTGTAACTGGTGTATAGGAATGCTTGTGATTTTTGCATATTGATTTTGTATCCTGAGACTTTGCTGAAGTTGCTTACCAGTTTCAGGAGATTTTGGGCTGAGATGATGGGGTCTTCTAGATATACAATCATGTCATCTGCAAATAGAGACAATTTGATTTTCTCCTTTCCTATTTGAATACCCTTTATTTCTTTTTCTTGCCTGATTGCTCTGGCTAGAACTTCCAGTACTATATTGAATAGGAGTGGTGAGAGGGTATCCTTGTCTAGTGCTAGATTTCAAAGGGAATGCTTCCAGTTTTTGCCCATTCAGTATGATGTTGGCTGTTGGTTTGTTGTAAATAGCTTTTATTATTTTGAGATACATTCCGTCAATACCTAGTTTATTGAGAGTTTTTAGCATACAGGGCTGTTGAATTTTGTCAAAGGCCTTCTCTGCATCAATCGAGATAATCATGTGGTTTTTGTCTTTGTTTCAGTTTATGTGGTGAATTACATTTATAGACTTGGGTATGTTGAACCAGCCTTGCATCCCTGGGATGAAGCCTGCTTGATCATGGTGGATAAGCTTTTTGATGTGCTGTTGCAATCGGCTTGCCAGTATTTTATTGAAGACTTTTACATCTCTGTTCATCATGGATATTGGCCTGTAGTTTTCTTTTCTTGTTGAGTCTCTACCGGGTTTTGGTATCAGGATGATGTTGGTCTCATAAAATGATTTGGGAAGATTCCCTCTTTTTGGATTATTTGGAATAGTTTCAGAAGGAATGGTACCAGCTCCTCTTTATATGTCTGGTAGAATTCGACTGTGAACCCATCTGGACCTGGGCTTTTTTTGGGTGGTAGGCTCTTAATTGCTCCCTCAACTTCAGACCTTGTTATTGGTCTATTCAGAGTTTCAACTTCTTCCTGTTTTAGGCTTGGGAGGAGGCAAGTGTCCAGGAATTTATCAATTTCTTCCAGGTTTACTAGTTTATGTGCATAGAGTTGTTTGTAATAATCTCTGATGATCGTTTGAATTTCTGTGGAATCTGTGGTGATATCCCCTTTATCGTTTTTTATTGCATCAATTTAGTTATTCTCTCTTTTCTTGTTTATTAATCTGGCTAGTGGTCTGTCTATTTTGTTGATCTTTTCAAAAAACCAGCTCCTGGATTTATTGATTTTTTTGAGGGTTTTTTTGTGTCTCTGTCTCCTTCAGTTCTGCTCT